TAGGAGTCAGCTGTATGGGAAGGGCTCAGAGTACTCTCACTATATTCAGAGAGATAATCCCGCCCACTGTTACGCAGAGTCACGGGACCCTACGTAAGCAGCTCTGTTACTGCAATGTATTACATACCGGAACACCATACATGGGCGTTTAATTCATTCTTGATACCGATATGGTGCTGCTGAATTTCCAAGTAACACGAGCGATAACATGTATGCTGTGGTGTGCACATAAATTAACCTCACAATAAATTGAGTTTTAGGGGACAAAGTGCTTCAGTTCTTTCTATAAGGGTTATGTTAGCTAGATCCTAAAGCTCGGCAAAAGATTCTGGGGGGAAGTGAAGTTAGAAAGTTATGCGGGCCTACAAAATCTATCCTCCCGAATATTGGGATCTAACATTTACCCTATTAATGTTACAACTGCTAACGGGTTAACTTGAATTACAGTGTTAATGCATTATAATATGTTTCATAACCACTGCAAGCTGGCGTTAATACTTTTAGTTTCATACACAACGGGATGGTTAGGTAGCAGGCGGCCAACATACACAGTCAGAGAATTAACTTTGGAAAGGTGAACTACCGAGAACAATTTCATGACTTTAAAATACATATAGATTTTTTTTTTTAATTTATCAAAACATTTAACTTACCAAAAGATTGTTTCGAGCGGCTAATTTCTTCTTCTTCTATGTAACTCGCCGGTCAGGTCTGGTAATGCAGAAAGTGGAAATTTCCACTGAGTTTTAAGTGCGGGTTTTTGAGGTGGGGGAGGTGGGGGGAGCCTATCGTTGAATTACAACCAATCACCATTTAGTTAACATATACTAGGCGATGACTGGCTATGCTCGACCTTACCCTTTGTTTCATTGGAAGATAGACCGATCAATCAAACTGTCTTAACCAATGGTGGTAGAAGATTAAATAAACTATTGTTCGTAGGCCACTTCCTTCAAATACCATAGTTGAATGTACAAAGATACAAAATATACATAAATAGACATTTAATTGAGGTTTTTACTTGGAGAGATTAGTCGAGGTCAGTTAAAGGAACAAGGGTTCCCATTCCCCAAACAATCCTAAGGTTAACATGATCATGGCAGCATTAAGATCACTTCGGTAAACCTGACGGCTGTCAGTGGACTGACATCATCACTTTGTATTCTAGTCTTTTCTATTCTATTCTATTCTGTTCTATTCAGGTGTTGGTCCCAGCTGTGGAAAGTAACTACATACAGTACTTAGGTGCAGGTTTACTTGCATTTTAGAAGAGCAGGCTACTTGCATTATGCTCCTTTAATGCATAATAATGAATGATTAAAAAATTATAATATAGTCTACTGTAGCCTGTGGCTCTCACAGGGGCCAGTTCCCTGGATTAGGAGCACTATACTTTTACTAAGAGTTTGAATGCAGGATCTTTACTTGTAAAGGAGTTTTTATCTGAATACTTAATCCACCACTGACTAGTCCTGGTTCCCCTGTACCATTGTTAAGGTATCCTCAACCAAGTCTCTTATTTTAAACTTGTGAACTATAACTGTGGACATGCTGAACATATACCCTCTAGTTTGGCATAAACAAAGGTAAAAACTTTATGTATGTAGCAAGACAAACTGCCTCAACAGTATGTTTGTTAAGGTTAAGTTGGGAACAAAAGGTATTACCGAAAGAGATTTTTTCCTCAGGTTATCTGCAAAATTCTGCTGAATAGGTTTCAATTGTGTGCACAGCACCGAGTGTTGCCTACTTGATATAAAGTTACAAACACAAAGCAAAGAAAGGAGAGCTCTTGTTAGCACTAAAACTGGTTTATCAGATGTTTCTATGGACACATTTTGCTGCTCATGCACTCAACCTGAAAACTTGTGCAATAGTGGGTGGTACAGAAACAGGAGGGATTCTCATAGTTTACATACCTTTTTAACCTTCATGGTTCACGGCTCTTCTTAAGTGTATGTCAGTTTGCTAAACATCTGCCAACCAGTTTTCTTGGAAACGTTGAAACAGACCCAAGAAACAGATAATGAGGGATCTATTAACCTTCAGCACAAACTGTTCCCACCAACAGAGAAAAAAGGGATGTTTCAAACAACAGGTCTTCCTCAGGTAAAATGTGTAATCTAACAAATATAGCACACTCAATCAAAATTATGAAAGGCACCAGTAGTCAATATATATTTGTTATAACAGCACCAATGCTGAGTTAAAGGTTTTGCAGACTATTCCAACACAAGATACTGAATCGATGGACTACAGTCATGCTAGCAGCTCCTTAAGGCTGTGCTTAGTCTCAGGGCCCCTACATGCTACTGCATGCTAATAAAGTTTAGTGTTTTGCATATTATCATCTACTAATTAGTGAACTACAGCTGTAGTTGATGGGAGTGTCATTTGTACAGGTATTTGAATATAAAGTGACTGACTGCAAGGTTAAACAAAGTGTTGGGAGTGGCAGAATTTGTTCAAAATTTCTCAAGGCTATATTATGACCTAGAAAAAAAAAAGTCCACCAGCAGGTTTTCCATTGTACATGTCCCTCGTGCAATTAACCCTCTTACACCTAGCTCATTCTACCTCTGCCCCCAAAATAGATTTTCTCCCACAGTTACTTGAAAGATACTTGGAATATATTAAATAAATTGATTAGAAACAATACCAGCAGGAGTAACTACCCTCCACATTTTATGGACAATGATACACCGGTCAACAGATTTGAGGATGTAGTTGAGAAGTTTAATAGTTTTTTTGTGAATGTTGGTCCTGGCTTAGCAAGTAGCATTTGTACAGATGTCAATATAAATAACAATACAATTGAAAGGAATATGTGTTCTATGTTTCTGAAGCCAATAGTTGAAAAGGAAATTATAGAGATAGTGAACAAATGTGGTAATAAATCATCCAGTGATAGTGATGGTATCAGTATGACAATGGTTAAATGGGCAATCGAGGGGATATGCAAACCATTAACCCATGTTTGTAACATGCCGTTTCGACTTGGTCAGTTCCCCAATAATATGAAAATAGCAAAGTTATTCCATTGTATAAATCTGGGGATAAGCACAACTTCACAAATTATAGACTGGTTTCTCTGTTGTCACAGTTTTCAAAAATCTTGGAAAAACTCTTTAATAACAGATTAGACACATTTATTGATAGACATAAAATCCTCTCTGATTGCCAATATGGTTTTAGGTCGAACCGATCGACATCTTTGGCCATTACCAACCT